GTGCAACTCTGATGTGGACCATGAAAACGTTGCCCACGTTTCTTTGCTCTAATTATATGTTCCACTCTTTGGTACTTTCCGATTGCTCCAGCAAACTTATGACAATGTTCGAGAAGTATTTTGATTTTCCACTTCCAACCAAAATCTGCCCATGCCCGCCGTTACAACCGTTTTCGATTTCGCGATCATTTGCCAATATCCGTTCAAAAACTAAACTCCTATCAACTTCTGATGAGAAGTTGTTAGCCGACAACCGAGTGGTAAAAAACCTTGAAAAAGTGCTTTTTTTGCTCTGAAAGTCGGAAACGCAGTTTTCAGTTCCACCATTCGAATCAGGCCTCCAAATCTCAAATAGAGCCCAGTTTCTATCAATGTTGTGATTTTTTTAACAGTGTTTATTGGTACTCAAACGTTGAAGAACGGAATGCAATAAACATGGGAAGAGGGTCTGCAAACATGAATCAGTGGTATCGTAACTTTCAGAAAAAGGGGTTCATGAATGTTGGGGGGGGGGGGGGGGGGGAAGCGGAGTATTCCAAGAAATTAAGGAAAAAGCGAGAGGGGATATTGGGGTAGGGGGATCACGGAGTAGGAGAAGGAGGAAAAGTTAGAAATGAGTGAATCTATATCAAGCAGCGATCACAATCTGTGGGAGATCCTGCTTGGTTGGAGAAGCATTATTACTGGCCTCGTATTCGCTGTAATAGGATTCACATGGATCCATGGAATAATCATCCTTTGGGCCGATGTACTCGAGGAGAATGAGACAGCGTTTCACTTCCACTGAAATAATAATTTGATTTATTGCCAACCCCAACTTCTATGGAAACTAACCGAGACAGAAGAGGAACATCAAGAAATGGATCACAGTAATCACTATCATCTGCACGTAGAGTGCGATTTCACCAAGCTCGTTGATGCAAATGTGCATCTGTGGTTCGCAGTCGGGAGATGAGCTGAGAGTGGACATGATGAGAAGTGGGAAGGTTGCGATGCAGTAGAACTTGAAAGCTATTTGGAAAATCTGAGAAAAGATAAAGATAGCTTTGTAGGCACATATTAGTATACCACGAAGAAGGCCTGGAAGATCCGATACCTCTCACTCATAATCGAGACGGTAACCAGCAAATGGAGTGCCGAGATTATCGCAGCGGCCATGATGTTATCATAGAACCAGAAGTGGGTTGGAATGAAAGCTACGAGCACTAGATAGTATATTGCGCTAAAAAGCTCAATCATGTGAGCCCGACGCCAAGCGCGATCGTCTGCATCAGACACCTGTGCAGACAATATTTTAAATTGATTTGATTCTGAAAGTAATACCTCTGGATTCTCGATTTGTGACTCCACTTTGGTAGCATCAGGTGGAGATTGGTCTTTCGCCTTATCCTCAGTCGTCGGAGGCTCCATTTTGACAACAGTTTGCGGTGGAAGAGGGGGATCCATCTTCTGAAAGAGAATGGTTGGGGATTCTGAGAGGAGTGAAGTCGAAAACTGAATGAAACTGAAAAGGGAATGAGGATCGGGCTAAAAGGGGGCGGAGCTTAGTAGAGTGGTGTCTCCTCTGACAACGAAGTGAGTACAATTGTAGGTAGTAGAGTGTATAGGTGTCGTGCCGTCTGGAATCCAGACTCTAGATTAATATCCATTTTTACGACTTCTCTCGGGAAGTGAGAGGCGGTTCGAGGCAGACTCACGAGTTCTTGGAATGTGCTCCTAGTATCAAATGGAGTCATAGATAGTATGAATTATAAGAGACAATAGACAATGTTTTGTCTGAATCGATATCCAGCCGAATGCGACGGCCGTCGAGCAAGGAAAAGAAAGTCTGACGCTTCAGAAGTACTGAGTTTTTCCGTGAAAATCAAATGAGAGGGATTTGTCGGATACTAAAATTTTCGGGGCGACGAAACTTGTAGAAAACTTAAAAAATTCAACTTCAATCATTTTGTGAGGGCGATTAGATCAACAAAAATTTATTGAAATGGAAAAGTCGGTATTCACAATTTAATATGGAACACTTTTCAGAAAATTGAAAGCACAGCGAGTGAAAGAAAAGACACGGTCTGCGACAATCCGTGGAAAATAGGAATAGGAAACTGAAAAGAGTAGAAAAGGGCATACTTGTAAAATTCCGGACCGGGCCTGAGGAAAATTTCAAGGCCCGGAAGGCCCGGTAGCAAACATTTTGTCATTTTGAACCGAATTTTGAGCTCTCAATACAATTTTCTATATTTTTTTGTGCTTTTTGGATTGTTTGTCTGTTTGATCAAAAAATAAAAAAATAAACTCGAAAAAAATCACATAAGGGTCCCCCCTTATTTTTTTTTTTGAAATTTTCAAAAGTTGTGGAATGACAGGCCCGCCG